CCCCAAAACCCCAAAACCCCAAAACCCCAAAACCCCTTATTTTTATTTTAATTTGATAATTTAAAAATTTTATAAAATGGTAAGACAGTTAAATTATCCTTCTCTGAGTGAAATTTTAGCATCAAGATTACCATTACAAAGAGAATCCCAGGATAAGTTTTCTCTCGAGTGAAGGGTCACATGTTGCAAAGAGACAGTTTCAAGAGAGGAATCAGTTCTACACCTCCAATGCGCCGATATTTCCGACTTATCTAGACCAGCAGAAGAGGTTCAACTCTGAGTATAGAAAGAAATATTTTGAATTTCAGCCTGAAAGGCCTGAAGATAGGACCGAGTGTAAGATTTTTGCTGTAAATTATAGTCATAATTGAAGACGGAAATATCGTGAATCCTTATCTCCAGAAAAGAAGAAGAGGAAGAAAGATTATTAAGAATAACCCAGTCTATCAAAAGGATACAGCCAATGCTGGAAAGATTGTTGAGAAGAATCTTCACCATAATGATCATGAGTTTAAAAAATCTACTACTAATAAATTCAATCAAGAATTACAAGCTCAAGGGTATATGAATCATTCAAACAAGATTCCTGCTTCTAATGCCTCAAAGTATAACTCTAGCCAGTATTCTCCAAATGAGACTACTTCTACAGCAGCGAAGCAGGAGCAAAGGCCATATAAGAGGGAAGCAGGGAGATCTCTTATTGAGGAAAGCTTTCACAACAATCAAAATACCAGTATGGAAGCAAGAAATATTCATAGGAGAATAGTAGAAAATAACATTGTAAAAAATACATCTATTGAGAGACAGAGACCTGAGGAAAATAATACTAGAGAGGATAAATTGTCTCCTGAGAATCAATACAACTATCCTCAAGACAAGCATGACAGCAATAAACTTGAGAACTTTTACCAAAATGCTTCTCAAAATCCCACCAAAACAGATCAGCCAGAGGAAGGTCACCCTAATATTTCTCATTTTAAGGAAGGTAGTAACTCTAAAAATCCTGATAATAGCCAAAACCATACAAACTTTTACCCATCACAAGAGATGCCTAATGCTGATACATCCCTGCGTGAGATAGAAGAGAGCCTCCAGAACCAGGTTTATAAAAATAACAACTTCAGATCTCGAGGGGAGAAAATCCAAGGAAACAATAGTATGAACCTTATCCCAAAATCTACGAAAATAAAGTACGAAGCTCCTCAGGTACAAAAGTCAGTGAACTTCGCTGACCATCCTCCCCAGATGTACCAGGACCAGGTCTCAGAGACTTACTCCAGGATGGGTGACAAATGAAGTATGCAAGCATATGAAGATGTTGGTAATACCTAGCATAACATTTAGACCGAGAGAATGTAGAACAAGAGAGATATTACGCCCGTCTCAGGAAAGCTACAGAGAAACAAAACCACATCTTCCAGCAACATCTCAACAGAGTGTATATCCCCCAGAAGAAGGTGGAGTTAGATCTCAACCAAAGAGAAGAGCACAAGATTCAGACCCTGAAAGACCAAGCTAAAGAATATGAAAAATAAACAAAAAGAAAATGTAAAAACTATGCAGGGAGAATACTCACAATTTCTTAACAACCAGATGAAAGAGAAAGAATATACTCAGAATATCTGGAACCAAGAGAAGAGATCCTTCCAGGAAAACATGAGAATAAAGACTCAAATACAGGAACAAAAGACAAAAATGCAGGAAAGAGAGAGACTAGAAAGCCAAACTGCTTATAGAAATGTTCTGAACCATCAACAGAGATTTAAGAACGAGCACCCTGAGTCTTCTCTTAAGGTTAATGAACCAATGCAGAAGCCAATGGTAGTTCCTATAGTCAGTGAACAGAGACACATGTCTAACCCTGAAGTGGAATATTTAGCGAATTCATCTCCAGGGAAGATTTCCCAAGCCAGTTCTTACGGTATCGATATCAATGGCCAAATTAGTGCAAACCAGGGTAACAATAACCTCATAAACATAGGTATAAGATCCAACTATGTAGGACCCAATCCAATCCTTGCCCCTATCTCAGATCCATTATATAACCCCTATGTGAGAAAGGAAGTGAATAACTCCATTCATGCACCTAAAAAGAGGAACATTTACATTCCTCCCGACAGCATTGCATTCTAGATTCAATTTCTCTTAAAAATAAAGGGGTTTTGGGGTTTTGGGGTTTTGGGGTTTTGGGG